CTCCTGAAGCATGCCATACGATTAAAACGGCATTTTCAATCAAGATAGTGGCACGACTGTATGACATTATTGTTAGATCACTTTAACACGCTATTCAGGATCAACTTAAGCTCCTCAAAATGTGTCGGAGACTGATACGGAAGGCCTTCCAATAAAAGAAAAATGTGCTGATGCTTTCCTATTGGAGCTAATCCTAAGAGCTTTCCCATCAGTATGAGATTGATGGTGAAGTTATTCTGAGGCTTATCTTTGAAGCTTATTCTGAAGCTTATCCTGTTAACTCAACATGAGAGCTGGCTATACTTCTGTGTGGGATAAAGTTCGAGATGACAGTAAATCTTGGTCTCTGTGCATTTATCAGAAGAAATTTATTTCCAGTTATATCTCTGCGTTTGTTAAGCGCTGCTGCGAGTAAGCTGGGTTAGAAATAGTCTGTGTTGAATAACGGCATTAAAAACATTCTGTAAAACAAAATTTCGATTTTGCGCTAACAGCAGTATATCTCATGTACAATTAGTATTAAAACCTACACTTTCGTAATAACATTTGGTCTGAAATTATTGTAAGTTCAGACGCAAGATATGTTGTAAATAGAATGATGCACTGAATCTTGCTGTGTATGAAAATGAACAAAAATACGCAGTTTCTTAATACATATTCTAGTTGCATTTGAGCCAGAAGCTACAAACATATTCAAAGAACACTTCCTCTGATACTGAATACAGGCATCCCAAATTTGCTTAGGAATAACAGCATTAAACATATTTTAAAATCCTCTTATGCACAGCTGGTAAACGTCGTTTACGATTTCTTTTGAAATTTTGCAGTGCCAGATCATCTAAAATCATTTCTGATTATACTAGATGGCTCAGAATTATATCATAGGATTAAGTTAGAATGGATATAATGATCGTTGTATTGTTAGCAATAACTTTTTGAACGCTCAAGGCTAGATGGGCGGAGGTATTGTATTGGTTAAAAAACCTAGTCATATAATAACTGCTTTTACCTATTAAGGAATTAAATTAAATAATAAAAAATCTGATGTGCACATAAAATGACTTCCTTGTACGGAATATTAAATTATACGCATTTTTCTTGCATTTCATTTAAACTTATTGCATTGAATTAAATCTACTTGGCCGACAGCGCATAAACCACAATAGAATAAATGCACTTCTTTAAAATTCACTGTATTTGTTTACCATAGCGACACTCCTGGCGATAGGTTCCACTTAACAGCTATTACATCTCAGTTCATATTTATAACTCAGAATGCACAAAATTTATATCATTTGAAGAATTATCTAATCGTTGCCACAATGTTCTTATTCAAATACTATAATAAAGCTAGAACAATGCATAAAAGAAATTAAGCAAACAAAACAAAAAAGAAAACGTTTTTTTTCACAGACGATAAAGTATTTCTTATTCAATTAATTCAGTTCTCACTTCGCGACAAGGCAAAAATACATAAAAACTCAAAATATCTGTATTAAAAATTACGAAGTAAATCTTAAACACTTATTTCCTTGAAAAAATTCCAGAAATGATTAAGCATGATTTAATTCGCAATAATAAATGAAGGCATTAGCTTTGTTGTTGTGAAGCTAAGTTTCTCTAGATTGGCAACAAATCCACTATCCTGCTGTTTCAAATGTAAACAAGCAATGGCCGCATCAAAAAACTTATTAGGCTTAGCTGCACTTAAACAGCTTTAAAATTGTTGATAATTCTAAAAATATTGCATACAGATTTACTAAAGGCATAAAAACCGTAACCGGAAGATAAGAAGAAGATAATTCAATCATTTTTAAAGCAAAAAAGGTACAATTTACAAACATATAAGACTAAAGAAACTGATATCACTGAGTCGGGTAACAGAGTGGATATTAATATATAAATATATTTATATACGTTTGGTGCTGCCGATTGCAACCAAAATACGAGGTGCACATCTACATGTTATAGCAGTCCTAGATACAAAATTTCAACGTTCTGAGACTACTCGTTTTTGAGTTCTGTGAGATACGTACGTTCGTACGTACATACGTTCTTACAGACGCCACGAAAAATTTTCTTCAGAATTCATTTTTAAGCAGTTTTATTATTTTTTGGAGGAAAAGGGTGTTTTATTCTGTCCTTATGTACAGATATCACCCAAAAAGATCGTCAAATTTCATTCGATAGCGGTCAAAATGGATATATATATATATATATATATTTTTTTTTTTTTTTTTTTTTTTTATATTAAAGATTGTAGATATATTAGGTTATGCTGTCTGAAACTTTTCGCGATAGCAATACTTCCTTTTTACTTCGTACAAGGAAGTAAAAAGGTGCATCGTTCATTCTTTGAAAAACAAAACCTGAAAGTTTTGAAATTTTAATGTCCGACCAAGCGGGTTTGTTAAGGTTTTTATACTCTCTCTGAGTTTGCCGTCTACCAGTCTGCTGTTAACTCACTCCTACTAACCCATTTTTTAAAATCTTTTTTGCTTTATTATTAAGCATAATTTTCTTCTCACTTACGCCATACACAATTCAGTAGTTTAACTACAAAAATTTAAAACGCATCGTATCAGTATCTTTTTAGAATTCCCGTTGCAGCGATAAGTGTTGGAGTACATTTTTCTGTATTTTCTGCCTTTGCTCAGTTTGTCATGCCAACGTTCAGTGCTCTTACTAAGTTGGCTTTACAAAACGTTTTAGCAAAATCACAAAATAATTAAAAACACCATATCTTCAGAATTTGCAACATATTCTCGTGCGCTGAAGACAAAAATATTTTGCTAATCTTTGGAATATGGTAACAGGTAGTTTGGCGACATTTTGGTAAGGTGATAAAAGTTACTAACTAGGACTTTAGCAGTGTACATGGATAAAGTCAAGAGTGTGCGCATTGCCATTTTTGTGCAATTCTGGGATTTTTTTTCACGTGAAAATAGGTCGACGTGTACATGGATACCGTGTATGTGCAATTCTTAAAAACGCGGCAAGCAGTGGGCGATTCTGCACTTTCTCCCAATTTTGCACCTAATCTTCGTCATGATTAAGCACTTTTGTTCCATAAAAATTCTAGCATAAGCGTAATTCGGCTAGCAGATTGTTAGAAAAAAATGTTGAGTAAAAAAAAAAAAAAAAAAAGCCTTTACTTCGTGAAAACAAAATGGCGTCCGAAACAAAACTAGCAGGTTGCTGTAGCAGTATTAATCGCCAAATTTTCGCCAAAAAATCGCTAAGTTACCATAATTCGAAGATTACCCAAATATTTTTTTTCGTACAGTGCTGCCACTGCTCGCTTTGAAAGCGTTTAGTTTATTAATAAAAAATTCGTTTAAGTTTTACGAAATATGAAATAGATTATAAAACAAATTCGAAATTCGGCTTTCCATGTTCGGGTGAAGGACTACGCTATTTAAAATTTGATGGCTGTAGATACCGTTCTTTTTTAATAATGCTAGATGCATGCATACATTTCAACAGATTCTTCATTATTTAATTTCTTTAAACATAATAGAGTGCGATAATATTTCGTTGCAACAATTTGAAAAGATTACTCGGTTTATAGCTGTTCAACGTAAAATGTAATTTCGAGATCAATATCCCGTTGGGGACTAATGTCCCTTTTAGACTAATGAATTAATAAATTATACCATATGCCCCTAGCTTAATATTAAAAAGCAGAATAATAATTTGTATTAAAAATAAGCATATATTGTAAGTTTCAAAATATCTGCTGCAGAGCTGTGGATGTCTTGCGCGGTTGATTGAAATACCGAAATATTTTTTTATTGTGATTAAAATAGATCTAGAACATAACATCTAGCACATAAGGTATTTGTTTTCCTTAAATGAGCATTATAAAAACATACAGTATTTTTTTTTCCTTAAATGAGCATTATAAAAACATATGGTATTTTTTTTCCTTAAATGAGCATTATAAAAACATATGGTATTTTTTTTCCTTAAATAAGCATGATAAAAACATATGGTATTTTTTTTCCTTAAATGAGCATTATAAAAACATATGGTATTTTTTTTTCTTAAATGAGCATTATAAAAACATATAGTATTTTTTTTCCTTAAATGAGCATTATAAAAACATATGGTATTTTTTCCCTTAAATGAGTATTATAAAAACATATGGTAATTTTTTTTCCTTAAATGAGCATTATAAAAACATATGGTATTTTTTCCCTTAAATGAGCATTATAAAAACATATGGTATTTTTTCCCTTAAATGAGCATTATAAAAACATATGGTATTTTTTCCCTTAAATGAGCATTTTAAAAACATATGGGATTTTTTTTCCTTAAATGAGCATTATAAAAACATATGGTATTTTTTTCCTTAAATGAGCATTATAAAAACATATGGTATTTTTTTCCTTAAATGAGCATTATAAAAACATATGGTATTTTTTTCCTTAAATGAGCATTATAAAAACATATGAAGCTATGGAAAGCTTAACATATGAGTACTTATATCGATCCTGCAGTTTGTGCAAGCTGAGAGCTCTTAGAGGGTATTTTAAAGCACTTAATGGAGAATTTGTATTTATTGGATTTCTCATTACTGAGTTTAATCTTAGTTATGTGCTTAAAAATGTCTGACCGCAATCAAATCCCCTGAATTCTAATTTTATTTTGAATGTTAGTTTCTTATCATAAATTTGTGAAGTTTCCTATCAATGCTAAATAAAATATTCAAAACAGAAATATAAATTCTTTTAATAAAATGAGTTGCTGAAACTATTGATGCAAAAATGTAATGATTTTCAGTTTATGTCGTAATTTGGCATTGTAACATCAATACATGCAGAACAAAGTTTATTGCTTTCGCATGTTTCTTCTTTCTTAAAGATACTGAACTTTCCGGGTGCTAGCCTTGTATATAAATTTATGTCATAAATTTTAGACAATTTAATTGAAAAATTAATTAAAAGATTGTAGATATATTAGGTTATTTCGAAGCAGAAGAGATTAAAAATGAGCAACGCCTTCGCCTGGAATCGAACCATGAACCTCTCGAATTCGCGTCAAGCGTGATAACCACTACACTACGAAGCCATGCTAAGAAGGCTGGAGAAATTCCTTATATACTCCCCCTTTTAAAGTGCGACTCGGTTTTAGAAGACCCAATCGCCAAATCCTGGTGGGGAAGAATCATCATTAACAGCCTTTTAGTTCGGGTGCCACTGTAGAGGCATTTGATTGTTTTGGAAGGGGAGAGATGAAAAATGAGCAATGCCCCTGCCAGGAATCGAACCACGGACGAGAAAGGTTAGGGTTAAAGACAAGTATAAACAATTAATAAAATTAAATTTTAGCTTTTATAAACATTTTTCAGAATTTTAAACTTTTTTTGCAGTTTCGTACTTTAAAATTTTTGTTGTACTTTTAAGAGTTCTTTATGCGCAATACAAACACTAATGCAAAGAACGGATAGGAAAGATTTTACAATTAATAAGCAGATAACGGCGAATAATTAAAATCTAATTTATTTTTTAATTATAAACTACTGGGTAAATTTCCAGTTTGTTCGATTTTTTGTGAAATTTTCTGAACATTTTTCCCTATCGTTATTGATTAAGCGTGTATTTACTCTGAAACGTGAGTACAGTTATAATTTCTTTATGTATATATTTTTGTTTTAAATAGCTCTGCATATTGCTTTATTTTTAAAAAGTAGTGCTGAAGAATATTCAAAATAATTGACCTAATCTTAATTGATCAAGACAATTATATTTTTAACTCTTCTTTCGAATCTTTTTATAGTCGATTTCTTCAAAAATGTCTCAAGTTTTTTATCGACCCTTTCCATTTTATTGCTACAAAATTATGATGCGATGTCTTACCATAATTTTGTCTTATGAGTCTATAATTTTGTCTTATGAGACTTAAATTGCATTGTCGTACATAGTGAAATTTCGACTGTTTATTTTGTATTGTTTGTTACGTATTAGATTACGTACAGGTTGTTTCAGCAAACCTCTTACAAACTTTCAGGGGAGAAAGATTATACTTAGACTGTGGAAAACCACATGGCAATTCATGGTCGTAAATGCTTTCTTGGCTGGTGGTGACGAGACGACACCAAACACATGAAAGGAAGGACACGAACAGGGAGAAAATATATACTTTGATGACGATTGTCATCAAAGTAAATGTTTTGGGCGTTGTGACTTATCTCATTTGCCTCACAGTAACATGAGAACAAGACCATAAAATTCATCGTGGCAAAGGTAACAAGATTACGCCTGGTCAGATCACACAATGTTCCAAGGTTATTCATAATCGACTTTCATCCGGGCAAGGTTTAGTGCAAACCATTTACGTGATTTCAGGTCAGCAGGTAGCAACGGCTGCACGTGAGTTATCTTATACGGATAACAGCGCAAGATGTTCCGTAGGACTGTACGCCCCGTGCTAATAGGCATAATCCAACATACGGCCAATTCCCCTTGCACTGCTGATTCCTGCATCACTGTCTGTTCTTGTAACGCAGTGAGGACATTTTACACTGCAGCCTCCGAAACTGGGTTCATCCTCTACCTCGTTTCATGTCAAATGAACCGATCTCTTCGAATTTGTCTATCATTTTCTGCAGGCCATATGTGATCATTGGGCCCGATTTTATGCCTTTTAAAGTCTGGAACTTCCTTATAGGTGTTAACGCACAGTCACTATTCTGATAGAAAAGCTTAACGAGAAGAGCACGATCCTTCTTCATCAGGGTCATGATGAAGCACTCAGGCAAAATGTTATGTGTGTCGTTAGTGCTCTGCATTTGCACCACGTCTGCAGTGAGCATGTTGCATCTTAGTAATTTGCATACCAGCAGCAATGTCAACCTGACAGCGCCATCTATCGGAATGTTTTGGAAACTATTTTTCCCTTTTCCAAACAAAATTCCATTTCTTCACGATTGTTCCAATAAAATATCAAATCATTCTGACAAGTAGTTTTAAATTTACAGCGTTTGAAATTTTGCAACTTTAATTATAAACACTCTGTACATTGGTACATATTTACATTACATGTACATAATTACATTACTTTCAAGCCCTTAAACGCTTATCATGGCACTGAAATCTGATACAAACTCAAGCAATTATCTAGGAGGGAATTCGACAGAAATCCTTTTTATTTTTATTGTTAGTATACTAAAATTTATTTAAATTAATTTTTTTTGTAATATCTTTTTTAAATACGAATTTACGTTGTTTTTTCTTCCTTTTCTTTTATATGTATATTCTTCTATACACATATATGAGCACTGGTTTTCATTATAGAATTATGTTAATATTCACAGTTGTTTTAGACTTATTTCTTTAACTGTTGCATGTTCGTATTATACTGTAAGATGTGTGAAGTTTCTAACCATTTTCTTGGATAATAGGACTGGATTCTACTATGTAAGGAAATCAACGAAGGTTTTAGAGAACAATTTACCCAGATTTCGAAAGCTGTAATAGTGCAGTTATATAACCCACTGGGTACTTAATTATGGAATTCGGGACGCATAATGGCAAACCGCACATTGAGTTCACCAATGTTAACGAATTCCATTTACTGCGCATGCTTAACGGTATACCGTTGGCGTGAGAGAAAATACTGGAGACTAAGATGGGGGCATAAGCAACCCTACTAGTTATGTTAGGCATGTTGGTTTTACTGTTTTACAATTGGAATACTACTGAAATTTGTTTGTGCTTATTGCATGAGCTTCTGTTTCATTTTATTTTGGTTTATTTTGTTCATAAACATTACATTTCATATCGGGTTTCCTGAACTAGGGTCAGTTTGAATGCCTAGAAGCATCAGAACACATACTTGACCTGTTTTTATATATGGATTGATTATTCCAATAAAGCCCACTTATTTGACTTTAATTCAGTAATTTAAACTTGATTTATTCTTTAATTGGCTAAAATAAATACGAAAGGAACATATGGCAAATACTCGATTGCTTTTATTCCTCAGAAGTATAATTAATAAGCGTTCAGTTAATATATCTTGTAATGATTTTCCCTCATTGTAATCCTTCATAAACGAAATTTGCGTAGTTTACAATCGATAGTTACACTTTAAAAAATGAAGCAACTTAGAACCTGACAAGTTTTAAAACCCCGAAATGTTTACGCCCAGATAGCACAATATCAACCGTATACCGTATTTATCTTCTTTTAAAATTGAGCCACAGTTGTAATTGCGCAAACTACTATCCTGGGCATGAGCAGTAAACGAAATTCGTTTAACATCGATCAACTCAATGTGCGGTTTGACATTACGCATCCGGGACCTACCAATGGCCGAGTGGTAAGTCACAGAATATTGGTAGTTCTGTCTGGAACTCGAATCCCGGAAAACAAGCTGGCTGCATGAGCGTTTTTGTCGTTTTCAGCATGCGTAAACTGTATACGAGCCAGGTTTCCTTATAAAGTCCTCTCCAAAGGCAACTCTCCTCTTAGGCAGACAACAGCAGAGTGTTTTCCCATAACAAAATAAACCAAACAAAAACAATTATTCAACCCACAATCGGATAATCTGTGTAGGTGAATCATCCTTCGCTTTAGGCCTGAAAAAAGTTAGTATTTACATTACGCTATGAGAAAGAAAATCGGTAGTCTGACTGTATTTGCATGCTGTCACGAAATCCGATTGATTAAGTCGTCATATGACAACATTGGAGTGTTTTGAAGAAAGGTTATCTACATAATTCAATCACAGTTGCCTTGAAATGCAATCCTTATGTGATTGATACATTTTGTGGGATGCAGAGTTTGGTTTTAATTCTAGTCATATCTTTGCTTACGCTAAGAAGAGAAATTACAGCAACATAACAGTCCAGCAAAATACTTTATTTTATGTTTTTGACCTTACAAAGATTAATACTCAGTACGTAATAGACTTCCTTAAAATTTCCTTAAGCACAAGCTACAATATTTTACGCCCTTGACGGAAAAATTAAAGATCAATTACATGCTTTCTTGGTTAATGAATTAATATGCACAGCTTAATTTCTTATAACATATCATTGTACGAGGGCTGAAATTTTTTCAATACAGTTAAAAGTGCAAGTTAAGCTTATAAGGTATTTTCTCTCTCCTACAAGCATGCTTTCGTGGAGAAATGGTATCACTCTCGGCGCGGATTCGACAGGTCCAGCTTCGAGCCCTGGCGAGGGCGTCGCACACATTTCACATCTCCTGCTTGGAAATGACCTAATGACATTGCAATAGTTTTCAACTCTCGTCCACATTTATGTTGTTTACTAGTATTCGCGAATGATTTTAGGCTAAGGGATTGCTGGTCAGCTCGAGAAAGTAGATTCCTCCAATTCATATATTTCCATGTAAACATTACATATCAATATTAAAAACACTATCCCTGGACAATTTGTGCAATGGCAGAAATCTGGTCATCTTCAGATACTGTAAGAACTTGGTTTGTGTTTTCCTAGACCCAAAACTTTAGAAAAAACGTCGGTATTATAACGCCGTATAATTAATTGGCCATAGGTCACTTCATTGATTATTTACGGTTTGGCCTAAAGAATAGCAACATTTAGGAAGGTGAAAATACTGCTATACTTGGATGATTAAATTATTTTTTACAGTAAATTCACGCACTGTAATCAGCTAAAACATCATCTGACAAATCACTTCCAAGTTTAAACTGATAACAATCTCAGTAACGAAACAGCCCTTTATACCAGCAGATATCATTTCCGTACTGATAACCTGTGATGCTACAAACGTCGTTGCATTGTCCGTGCGAACATATGTTGTCCTGCGTACGAGCCAAGTTTCTGACTTAGAGTACATGACGTGGCTGTGCAATCCCGCAAGACAGAGAGGACAACATGTCTGGCATTTTGGACGTTAGCGATCTGGAGCGGCTAAGATCCTGCATGACGTTCAGTATGATTCTCTTGGTCCCATCGATACGTTGATTCCATATTTACCTAACATTCCTGAGATCCCGACTAACACCATCAGCAATGTCGCAAAGAGGTAAACCTCCATTTCACAGACCACGATTCTTCCATGATGGAATTCGTTTTG